CAGCGCAAGCTTCTCTGGAGGCTTTTTACTATTTGCAGCCGTAGGTGTTTGCGAGTTGCCATGTTTAGCTCCCATCCTGGAATACTTGAGGCTGTTGCAGCATCATTCTGCAGCTCCTGAGGTGCCTTGCTGGTCATCTTTCCTCTGTCCACCTTTAGAGATCTTCTTAGTGTGCTTTATGTACAATGCTTCTTAAGTTTCAGTTGTACTCAGAAAAAGGAATCAGGAAAGACTGAGCTTTGAAGGAGGCTGGCTTCTATTAAATCACCCTTCCTCAAGCAGAAGGGGCCAGGGCCGGGGATTGAGCTCAGTGGTCCCGGTGCCTGCCTCACAAGCACAAGGACCCGAGGTCCGTCCACGGGGACAGTTATGACCTGGCACTTGGTCAGCCCCATCTAAAGCTTCTCACCAGTTACTCCACCTGTGTCTAATTAACAACTTGCTTGACCCCAAGCATCTTCTAGGAAGGCATGGTCTGTCCTGCCAGAGTCCTTGGTGGTTTTGTGCTTTGCCCAACTATATTAAGGATAAATATTTAAAAATAAGACCACCCAAGATATTTTCGCTTTTGTGGTTAACCATTTTTTGAATTCAGGTTTCCTGGGGTGAAAAGATCATTCACATTATAAATACACTAATACTTCCAAATTTTTATGTTTTTACCACCATGTTGACTCTACAGATGTTAAATTCTCCCTGTAAGTACTCTGAGAAATTTGTATTCCGAGTGACATTTTGACTTTAAATTGATCAAAGCTGCCTATTTTCCCTATGGTTTTAAAATTATTTGTCCTGAATTTTAATTATGGGTAGTAAATAGAAGAATGTCTTTGGCTTCTGGTAGTCAGTCAGTTGAATACCATTCATATCAAACTCTAGTAAGGAAATGACCTCGCCTGTAGTTGAAGCAAGGTGGAAATATTTTTCTATCTACAATTAACGTGGATTTAGTGAGTCTCCGTAGAACTCCATTTCTGCTTGGTTCCAGATGTGCTGCAATTCTCTGTGAACTAAGAGACAAACGTGAATAATTTATAATGAGTTTGGCTTGCTTTGGTAGAGTGTTATCGTCATTCTTAAGAAAATGCAGACTGCGTAGCGTGACCAATGGTTAATGGACAACATAAACTTTGCTTCAGTCCCAACTTTGAAAAATCTGCTTTTTGTATACAAAAAAATGTGCATCTATTCAAAATATCTTAAAGTGGATGGTACTAATCTTAAAAGAAAGGAAAGTACCAGGGTTATTGGAAAGCAAAGCAGTAAGTGTCATCGTTTGGGGAACTAAATGAGGCTTAATGAAAAAAAATGCTATTTTGCTGTTGCCTTAATAGGGATAATTTTATTTCTAATTTGTTTCCTCTAAAATGTGTATTGTTTTTATTATGCAACAACTAACCATAGCTTAGAAATCAAGTATTACTATACAACTTAAAAACAAAAGTATCTCACTGCAAGTCTCCCTCCAAAGGCTGCTACTTTTAACACATTTAATTTGGATTTTCAAAATTAGTAGAATTCTGAAGCCCTTCTCAAAATAGTTAAACACCATAATGAATCAGTGTGTTCTGTTCTCCTTCACCTCCGAGGCATCCTCCTCGGAGCCCAAATGCTGTCTTTGGGCCTGTGAACCCTTTCCAATCGTATCGATAAGCCTGCCCTTACCTACAGCCCTGGTGCCCCGCCACCTGATTTCTTTTTCTTGGTTTACAAACTTTATATTGGTGGCCCACAAAGTCTGGTAGCTTCTTTAAGAGTTCCTAAGGGGCACAGTTGTTGCTTTTATGCCTTACTCTTCTTGAATATCTATCTTTACATTGGAAATAATTTTCACGCAGAATCTGAAAGGCATCTTTCTGTTGTCAGCACCAGGAATAGAGCCTGGTGCAGAATAGGCACTCAATAAATCACTGTTGAGTCTGTTATTTTCTTTCTTCTTTCTTTCTTTCTTTCTTTCTTTCTTTTTTTTTTTTTTTTTTTTTTTTT